AAGAGGGGGGGGGGGGGCAAAATCATGACCAGCGGCATGTCCAAAGGGGGGGATGTCCAAGGAGGGGGGGGTCCAAGAGGGGATGTCCAAGAGGGGGGGATGTCCAAGAGGGGGATGTCCAAGAGAGGGGGATGTCCAAGAGGGGGATGTCCAAGAGGGGGGTGTCCAAGAGGGGGGGGGGGGGCAAAATCATGACCGGCGGCATGTGCGCGGCCCAGCGGGGGGGCCAGGGACGTAACGGAATGAGAAGAGGCGCCGTGAAACCTGAGGAAGTATCATGGCTCACGTCATTGATATCCACCCCCCCTAGTCATCACCCCCCTCTTTGCAGCCCCCGGAAAGGCGGGGGGGGGTCACAGGGCAATCCCGAACCTGTGCGAATCGGCGCCGTCCGCTGCTGCCGCGCGGAGCGGTCATCACGGTCCTCCGTGCCCTCTGGAAACGATGCCTGGTCCTCCTGCGCCTCGTTGCCGCCGTCGACGGCCGCGCACTCGCCCACGGACGTCTGCAGGACCTGCTCGGCGTCGACCGTGGGCGCCTCGCTCGGGATAGAGAGGATCGGCAGCTCCAGGGCGGACGCATCAAAGGGCGTCGCGCTGCTCTTGACCCTCCTGGGCCGTCGGGGTGGCCTTGCACTCGACGTGCAACGTCCAAGCTCGCCCTGGCAAACGGGCCAGCGCCATCCGAGCCCAGCGCGGCAGCAGTGCCGCCAGCCGTGGGGCAGACATCCCCCGCAGGGACCACGAGTCCAGGCTGCGCCAACGCGCCCAACATCGCATCGATGTCTGCTCCGTGTCGCTCTGGGTGCTGGACCGCGCCATGCACGAATGGCGGCGACGCCAACCACCAAGTGCTCCCGCCTTCCCAGAAAGTGTGCACACCTCCAAGCGGGCCGTGAGCCGTTCCAGCACCAGCCGGGGGTTCCGCGACACAGACCTCCACGGTGATATCCCAGCCGCCCAACGTTACTTCGTCGCCGTCCACTGCGCCCTCGCAATCCACAGCGACCCCTAGCCGAAGCCCCTTCGCCGCCTGCCGCAGGGAGGCCGCGGAGGCTCGGCTGAGATTGTCTGGGGCGCGAGCGGCGTGCAGGGCGACATTGCGCCGCAGCCGCTGCAGCGCCGTCGGGTACTGACCTGCTAGCAGGACGGCGAGCGCGGGCGCGCAAGCAACCGGGCGGTCCGCGAGGCCTTCGCCCTCGGCGACCGCGTCGAGCGCCTCCAAGGTCGCGTCTAGGCCCTCGCGCAGCTCCTTCACCTCGGCGGTAAGACGCGCCACGAGCCTGTCCGACGACGACTTGGCCCAGGCCCTGCGCTCGCGCCGTGAAGTCGCCTCCAGCTGACGCCCTCCAGGGGTCCCTCCCGGAGCCATCATCCCGTGAGCCGAAAGCCATGCCCCTCCCAAGGCCTTCACGCCCGCCCGGGATAGGGGTACGCCGAAGGACAAGGTCCAGGAGCGGGGGGCCTACGGAAAGGCATGAGCCAAAATGGCTACGGAGGAGGAAAGGGAGGAGGAGCAGGAGATCGGACGAATCGGTGGCATGCGATGGGCCGCCTTGCAGCCCGCACCACGCCGCGAGTGCCTCAGGAGCGCCTTGCCGTACTCAATTGGCGGTTCGAGAAGGAAGAAAAGAAGGAGGAGGAGGAGGACGACGACGACGAGGAGGAGGAGAAGGAGGAGGAGGAGGCGAAGGAGGAGGAGGAGGAGGACGAGAAGGAGGAGGAAAGGAGGAGGAGAAGGAGGAGGAGGAGGAGGAGGAGAAGGAGGATGTAGGAGGAGGAGGGAGGAGGAGGCGAAGGAGGAGGAGGAGGACGACGACGAGGAGGGGAGGAGGAGGAGGAGGAGCAGGAGGAGGAGGAAAGAGGAGGAGGAGGAGGAGCAGGAGGAGGAGGAAGAGGAGGAGGAGGAGGAGGAGCAGGAGCAGGAGGAGGGGAGGAGGAGGAGGAGGAGGAGGAGGAGGAGGAGGAGGAGGAGGAGGAGGAGGAGGAGGAGGAGGAGGAGGAGGAGGTGGAGGAGGAGGAGAGAGAGGAGGAAGGGGAGGAGGAGGAGGAGGAGGAGGAGGAGGAGGAGGAGGAGGAGGCGAGGGAGGAGGACCCTCCTCCTCCTCCTCCCCGTTCTCACCACCCAAGGCGCCCGTCCTGAAGCCTGCCGCCGTCGCCCAGGCAAGGGGGTCTGGGCGCCCACTGCTCCCCCGAGGGGCCGCAACCTCGCGGGGATATGAGGAGTCTCCTGCCGCCTTCCAGCTCTCTCCTCCTCATCATCCACTTCCTCCTCCTCCTCCTGCTCCTCCTCCTGCTCCTCCTCCTCCTCCTCATGCCCCCCCGCCCCTCGTTCCTCACTTCCTCCTCCATTATCACACTCATGGACCCCCCACCCCCTTCTCCTGCCTCCCCTCATCCGCCCCCCTTCCCTCTTCTCTCCTTCCCCCTCCTCTTCCCTCCTGCCCCCACGCCCCGTTCCCCTATCCCTGTTCCCTTATTCCTCGTCCTCTCCCTACTCCTCCGTTCCTTCTCCTTGCAAATAACTCTTCCCTGTCACACCCCGAGGCTGGTCGAAGGGGCGGGCCCGGCGTTTCGCCTGAGATTCCCTCACCACTTCTGATCCTGAAGCTTGAAACTTGCAACACCGTCACGGATGGAGGGCGGGCGGTGTTCAAAATGCGGTTTTCACCTTAGCACCGCGCACAGTCGCTTGTAAACAATGCAAAAACTTCACGGGTGGAGGCGGTTTATGTTCAACATGTGGTTTCCGTCTTAGCTCCGCGCACATTGTTAAAAAAATGCCATGGCTTCGCGGATAGAGGGCGGGTGGTTTACAAAACTGTTTCTCGCCTCGGCGCCGAACACCTTCGTCTTAGAAAATGGCAAGAGCACCACGCATGGCGGGCGGATGGTTTACAAAATGTTGCTTTCGCCCCAACGACGCGCACACTCGTTTTAAACATGTGCAAGAGCTTCACGGATGGAGGGCCATTCTCGCATTAACGCAGCGCACACTCGCTAGATGTTCCAGAGGTGGTGGTTTGGCATGATGGCGAACTGGCACGGCGCAACAGTTATATTGATTCGAAGTGTCGAAGTCCCAGGAATGGTGTTCTGGCACGATTCAGGACCGTCAAGACGCAACAGTGACGGTGATTCGCGGCGTCGAAATTCAAGAAAGCGTGTTCTGGCACAGTTCAGGATTTTCAAACGGTCGCCTTCCACAGGGGCATTGACCCCAGTGAAAATGAATGCTTGTATGGGGTCTACAGAAAAGGAACTTGGAGGTAGGGTGTACTGCAGTATCTAATATGAGTTTGGGATTTACACTAGTCCTATTCCTCCGCAATTCCTTTTCTTCATAAGCAACTCCCCCCTGTCGCACCCAAACACGTGTCGGTGGGGCGGGCCGGACGTTTCGGCTGAGACGTCCTCACCACTTATGATCCTCAAGCTGAAATTCTGCAAGAGCCTCACGGATGGAGGAGGCACTTGTTTCAAAATGTGGTCTTTCGCCTTAGTGCCACGCGCATTCGTCTTAAAGACATTCAAGAGCTTCACGGATGGAGGGCGGGTGGTTTACCAAACGTGGTTCTCGCCTAAGCGCCGCGCACCCTCATTCTGGAAAATTGCAAGAGCTTCACGTATGGAGGGCGGGCCGTTTTCAAAATATGGCTCTCGCTTGCCGCCGCGAGCATTAGCTTCAAGAGATTGCAATCGGTTCTCTTACTATCATGGCCAATGTTCCAGAAGTGATGTTTTGGTACGATGGCTGATTGTCACGCGACAGTTACGTTGATTCGCGGTGTCGAAAGCCCAGGGCAGGCGTTCTGGTACGATTCCAGATCGTCAAAACGCAAGAGTGACGGTGGTTCGCGGTGTTGAATTCTCAGGAAGCGTTTTCTGGCACAGCTCAGGATTTACAAACGGTTGTCTTGCAACGGGGCACTTCCTGCATTAGAAAACTGTTGTAGGACCTTGTAAAGAGGGGTCTTGGAGGGAGGGTTGATTGCAATATCGTTGATGAATTCTGTGTTTCCACTGGTTTTCCTCCTCCTCCTCCTCCTCCACAACTTTTCCTTCTCCTCCTCCTCTTCCTCCTCCTCCTCCTCTTCCTCCTCCTCCCCCTTCTCCTCCTCCTCCTCCTCCTCCTCCTCCTCCTCCTCCTCCTCCTCCTCCTCCTCAGGGGACCTTCCACGGCGACGCTGGGTGGCTCCCCGCCGTGCTGCTCGCCTTCTTCCTCCACGGTCCGTGTGGGTCGGCGCCTCTGGCTGCGCGGCGTCGCGCTGGGCATTCGGCCCGCTGCTGCCTGCGAGCCTCGCGGCTGCCCGCCTTCCTCGTGTTCGTGACGATGGAGCTGGCCGATGTGCTGGCGGGACTGCGGCGGCGCTGCTGTTGAGGACCCGCGGGCTCCCGCGGCCATGCCTCGCGCCCCCGGATGCGCACCCTCGCCGGGCCGCGGAACCAAAACCACGCTGGCTGCCCGAGGGGTTTGAGGCCGGCACCCTGGCGTGGGACCGCGGGGGCCATGGCTGTGGCGCCCCGCCGTCGGCCGCGCGCCGCCGCGGCCTTGGAGGACACCGTGGCGACTTGGAACCTTCCCGCCTCTGTCTTCCTGGTTTTCGGGTTCGCCGAGCCCCTCGGGGAGCTCTTCGTGGTGCTCCTGCTGGCCCTCGTTTGCTTCGAGGCAACGGTCGTGGGGTCCTGGGGTGGTCAGATCCACCCACGGCCCCCAGCTGACACTTGGTGTGGATCCTTGACGCCGCACCCGCATCGCAGGAGGTGAAACCAAAATAACCTCCTCCTCCTTTTCCTCCTCCTCCTCCTCCTCCTCCTCCTCCTCCTCTCCCTCCTCCTTTTCCTCCTCCTCCTCCTCATCATCATATTCCTCCTCATCCTCCTCTTCTCGTCTTCATGATATTGTGCTGGCTCGTAATGATGATAACAATGATTATACGAAGAATAGCAATAAAAAACATAATACTACGATTGATAATAACACTGATGGCACTTGTAGCAGAAGTAATAATGGTAACAGCAGCAGTAGTGGTAGTAGTACAAGTAGTAGTGGAAATAATAATAGTGACCGTAGGAGTCAAAACAGTATTGATGATACTTATAAGACTAGTCGTAGTGGTAGTAGTAGCAGTAGTAGTACTACTACTACGAATACTAATACTACTAGGGGTAGTAATAATAGTAGTAAGAATGTATGTTGTAGTAGTAGTAGTAGTAGTAGTAATCGTCGTCGTAGTAGTGGTAGTAGTAGTAGTAGTGATAGTAATAGTAGTATTAGTAGTCGTCGTCGTAGTAGTGGTAGTAGCAGCAATAAGAATAGCAGCAGCAGCAGCACCAGCAGCAGCAGCAGCAGTAGTAGTAGTAGTAAGAGTAGTCGTAGTGGTCGTAGTAGCGTTAGTAATAATATTAGTACTAATAAAAATGAAAGTAGCGGTAGTTAACAAAGAACAAAAAAGTAGTAGCAGTAGTCGTAATAGGAACAAAAAGAATACGAGGAGGAGTAATAATAAGAGTAGCAGTCCGAGCCGTAGTGCGAGAAGCAGTGAGAAATTAGCAGTGGGAGTAGTAGTAGTAGTAGTAGCAAGAGTAGTAGTAGTCGGAGTCGGAGTAGTAGTAGTAGTAGTAGTAGAAGAAGTAGTAGTAGTAGTAGTAGTAGTAGTAGTAGAAGTAGGAGTAGGAGTAGTAGTAATAGTAGTCGTAGTATAATAATAATAATAGTTTTAGTCGTAATAGTAGTGGTAGTAGTAGTCGTCGTCGCCGTAGTAGTAGTAGTAGTAATAGTAATAGTAATCGAAGTAGTAGTTGTGGTAGTAGTAATCGAAGTAATAATAATAAGAAGAAGAAGAAGAATATTAACAGTGGCGGGCTGAAAATATAAGCCGTCTTAATCTTCTTCGTACCACTGTTCTCAATATCACTGTTATTCGGATGATTCGTATAATTCGCCTGATTGATTCGTAGCAAAAGCAATGTTTTCTTCGCGTGCTCAATATGGCGGCTCGTCTTCTTAATAATCGTATGTATACCATTACTGGCACGACCAGTATTTCTTGAGGATTACGAGCTGTCGCATAATTCGTAATCTGCTTATTATTACTGTCGTTAGTGTTACTGCTGGTTGCATTATGCTGTATGGCTCGCTGTATTCGTGGCAATCTTCTTCGTCCTACTATTCTTCATGATCGTTTTTGACATTGTTCGTAATCGACTTCGCGTTCGCACTCTGATCATTCGTATTCGTGTTCCTCTCTGTATGTTTATTACGAGTACTACTCGTTCCAATCGACTGCTGATTACGATTGTTCTGATTGTGGTTGAATTTATCATTTGTTCAGCAGCACGCGTATAACTTTACCCAGAACCAGCTTTATTGCCAGTTGTATGTGTTTCTGCTTGGTATGATGATGCTTACTTGTATGATCATTGCCATTACTCATATCAGTCGTATTTTTTGTTCATATTACTCTGAGTGTCAATAAGATTCTGCGTATGATGTATATTATTGTCCGCCTTCCTTCTCCTCCTTGTCCCTTCTCCTCCGCCTCCTCCTCCATCCCGCATCCTTATAAGCAAGTCCTCCCTGTCGCACCCCGAAACGTGTCGGTTGGGCGGGCCGGGCGTTTCGCCTGAGATTTCCTCACCACGTATGACCCTTAAGCTGAAAACTGTGCAACAAATCTACGGATGGCGGACGGGCCGATCTCAAAATTTAACCACTTGCAAGAGCTTCACGGATGGAGGGCGGGTCGTTTTCAAAATGTGGCGCTCGCCTCAGCGCCGCGCCCATTCGTCCTGAAAGTTTGCATGAGTTTCACGGATGGAGGTTGGTACCTTTTCAGAATGTGACTCTCGCCTTAGCACCGCGCGCATTCGCCCTAAAAGCTTTCAACAATTTTGAAGGGTTATTACAGCTGACGTCCCAGAAACGGTGTTCTGGCACGATGTAAGACACTCAGGGCGCAACGGTTACGTTGATTCGCGGCGTTGAAGTCCCAGGAATGGTGGTCTGGCACGATTCTGGATCGTCAGGACACAACAATAAAGCTGATTCGCGGCGTTGAGGTCCTAAGACTGGTGTTCTGGCACGGTTCCGGGTTTTCAAACGGTTGTCTTCCAACGGGGCCCTTCCGTCAGTGACAATAAACCCTTGTAGGGACCTATCAAGAGGGAACTCGGAGAGAGGGTTGATTGTTATATCGTTGATGAGTCTCGTGTTTACACTGGACCTCCTCCTCCTCCTCTCTCATTTCTGTGCCGCCGGCCTCGGTCCCCACCGCCCGCGGCGACCGCCTCGCCCAGCTCACGTCGACGTCCTCTCTGGCGCACCGGGTACGCAAAAACAGCCCTGCAGCCATCGTGACACCAAACTCAAGTCCAAAAGACATACAACGCCCCGCCGCGACTAGACGCGCCGTCTCGCTGGCCCCTCCCCTGCACGTGGACTCGAAGGACGAAGGACGGGGAGGAGGGGAGAGGCCTCGACGCTGCGGGCGGAGCGGCACCCCGCATGCCGACGAGTGAGGAGAGGAGAGGGGAGCCAAAGGAGGTCGGCGCCAACATGTTGGTGGCTGCTACGCCGGACGCCGGCCTGCAGCAACGGGCCAAAGCTGGGCCATCGCCTCGCCGAAGCGAATGGCCTCGGCGACGGAGGGGGCGCCCCCACGCGGGCTCGAGGAGCCGCCCGAAGGCTGGGGCCCTTCCCGAGCCCAGAACGGTCCTCATCTCGGCGTTTCGCCTACGCTGGTGGGCTAGAAGTAGGAGGGGGGGGACGGAGGGGGTCCTCCTCCTCCTCCTCCTCCTCCTCCTCCTCCGCCTCCTCCTCCTCCTCCTCCTCCTCCTGGTGCTCCTCCTCTCCTTCCTCCTCCTCCTCCTCATACTCCAACTCCCTTTCCCCGTCAACGTGGTGGTGGAAAACAGGCCCATCATGCACCAAAAGAGGCCGGGACCTCGAGCAGAAGAAGCAAAGCATGAGAACGAACGACCTCGGAAAAAAAATCTGCCAAAACACGATGAGGGGACGCAAGGATCTGCTGGGTCAGCGCTGCCCCCACCCCCTGGTGGCGCCTCGGGCACCGCCGCCGGCGCGTGTCGCGCACCAGGCGAGGGGGACCTAGCGCCGACCATGGGACTTCCGAAGGTGTCTGCTTGTGGTGTGTTTAGTGTTCGGCATGAGTAGCAAGTCGGGCATCGACGGCGATCACACCTCATGTACTTTACAACTACGCCACAGAGATGCACCAACAACAATCATGTTAAGACTGTTCGCTCTTACCTGCTCGCGTGCCATTCAACACGTATATCCCAGATCCTCGATAGCCACCCACTGCGTCTGCGATCGTAGCCCCTTGGGGTATATCTTTCTTACCTGCAACGTGCATTTCGTGCAGCACCTAAGGCAGAGGACGAGAGGGCGGATGGAAGGAAGGGACAAGGGGGAGAGAGGAGGATGGAGCACGAGAGAAAGTAGCAGGAGGGGGGCTAGGAGCAGAAAACACGTGGCAGAACCAGACGGGCAGATCGGGCGGGTAGACCCTAACAGGCGGGCCCAAGCGGCCAGGTCGAACAGGCGGGTTGCTGAAGCGTGCGTCCTGCATGAATCGCGAGGAAGCCTTGAGCGACAGCGCGAGTCCAAAATGAATCTCGTAAGGAAATCCTAAGCGAGAGCGTGATTCCTGAGTGTCGAGGGCGCGACGCCTTAATACATTGCGAGGAAGTCCCAAGCGACAGCGCGATTGCTGAGCGTCAAAAGCGCGACGTCTGAAAAGAATGCGGGGAAGTATCAGGCGAGAGCGCGATTCTCGGATACATTGCAAGGAAGTCCCTAGCGAGAGCGCGATCTTCAATAAATTACGAAGAAATATCAGGCGGGGGCCGTTGTTGTTGTTATAAACTGGGGGCCAAGGGCACAGTTTGAGCAGGAAGACTTTCCCTTGTAAAAACAAAGCGAGCCCCGGGATGGGCACTTCAACAAAAGAACCCGTATGTTACGCGAATGCATGAGTCCTGCATAATTCGCCGCGACCTCTCGGGCTATAAGAAGTCCCATGCGAGAGCGCGATTCCTGAATGGCGAGGGCGTGGCGCCTGAATAAATCGCGAGGAAGTCACAGGCGAGAGCGCGATTCTTGGAACAAATGCCAGGAAGTCCCTAACGAGAGCGCGATTCGTAGTAAATTGTAAGGAAATATCAAGCGGGAGCCGTTGTTGTTGTAAACCCGGGGCCAGGGGCACAGTTTGAGAAGAAAGATCTTCCCTGTTTAAAAACAAGGCGCGAGCCCTGGGAGTGGCACTGCAACTGAAAAAAACACATATGTTCCCGGAGGGGGGATTAACAATAATCATTGTTCAGTAGTGAGAACTCAACAACAACAACAACAACAACAACAACAACAACAACAACAACAACAACAACAAAAACAAACATCTTAAGACTGTTCGCTCTTATCTGCTCGCGTGCCAGTCGACACGTATATACCGAACCCTCGATACCCGCCCTCTGCGTCTTCGACCGTACCCCCTTGGGGGTATATCTTTCTCACCTGCAACGTATATTTCGTGCAGCCCCTGAGACAGGGGAAGAGAGGACGGATGCAAGGAAGGACAAGGAGGAGGGAGGAGGATGGAGCACGAGAGAGAATAGCAGGAGGGGGGCTACGAGCAGAAAACACGTGGCAGAACCAGGCGGGCAGATCGGAAAGGTAGACCCTACCAGGCGGGTCGGGAAGGAGGGCCCAGGCGGCCAGGTCGAGCAGGCGGGGTGCTCCAGCGTGCGTCCTGTATGAATCGAGAGGAAGTCTCGAGCGACAGCTCGATTCCCAAATGAAGAATGAGGAAATGCACAGCGAGAGCGTGACTCCTGAATGTCGAGGGCGCGGCGTTTGAATAAATTGCGAGGGAGTCCCACGCGAGAGCACGATTCCTGAATAAACTGTGAGGCAGTCCCGCGCGAGAGCGCGATTTGGGAATAAATTGTGGGGAAGTATTAGGCGTGAGCCGTTGTTGTTGTAGTTCGGGGGCCAAGAAACAGTTTGAGGGAGAAGATTTCTCCCAATTAAAAAACAAGTGCGAGCCCCAGGAAGGGCACTTCAATTGAAAAACACATATGTTACCGGAGGGGGGGGATCAACAATCTAATATTCTTCAGTAGTGACAGTTCAACGCACGCTTGTGCATCTCGGCCATACTTGACCAGAAAGTAGCCAGTATCGAGGCGCCGTGCAGCAAAGCCGTCGCAAACAAAAATACCGCAACGGTGTCCCAAAGCGGCCCGACCTTACTCCGGTCTGCCTCATGGCTTCTACCTCTGGGTGAAGCTTCTCAATAAGAAGTGACCACACCCTAGCCCTGCGCACCCCTTGGCCTAAAATACCGTGAAGCACAATGAAGATACTGCTCAAGACGTCATCGGTGAGAGACTCTGGAATCCAGTGAAGCCGAGCTTCCAGAGTCTCTCCAGGTGTGTGTATGTGTGTACGTGTCCGAGCCCTAGAACCCCTTCAGGTTTCGGCAATGTCGGGGTGGACGAAAGGATGGGGAGAGCAAAGGAAGGGCTAGCGAACCATGCATGTATATGCAACTGGTTTCAAGGTGCATGGAGGCGCTGGGAACGGCCAGGTATCGAGGAAAGTGTCTGGCGGCCAGGCCGAGCTGCTTGCAGCAGTTGTCGTAACAGCTAAAGGCCCCGAACCCCTTCATTCAGCACTTCCACCTGACCGCACCACCCTGAAGCTGCTAAACCAGCGCTGGTGTGAGGAGCCCAGTCAACGAAAGAAAAACATGTGGGATAGGCATCTCCCCACCATGTTGACACCTGGCCCCTGATCCACCCACCCACCCTGGGCCAACCCTGGCTGTTCGTAGAAGAACAGAACACTTCATAAACGGTAATACTCACGTTCGGAGGTCCACGCGAATTTCTTGGCTCTTCGCGCGAAACGCACCATGGGCGGCGCCAGAGGCGCCGCAACGGGAGTGTCGAGCGCTGACGAAAGAAGACATCCGCGAAGACCTCGGAAAGCTTAGACTTATGCTTATGCCGTTTCGTAGTATTCGCACCCCTGGCCATGGGGCCAGCTGGCCTTGGGTACGCACGGCCACCGTGGCCGCCTGGCTTCTGGCAGCGCGCGCGCCAGCTGGGCGTGCGAGACGAAGGCCCAATCCAGCGTGCCCACAGAGTGCGCCTGCTGGAAGCGCGTGCCGGGAGCGAGCGGCCACTCCGCCTGCTCGGGGCTCGAAACGGCCCGCGGCCGCTTCGGGGACTGGGTCGGGGCTCCGACTCGGAGGCCTTCGGAGTGGCTCGGATGCCCTCGGCGGCGAGGCAGCCTCCCGAAAAAATACCAGCCAGCACACTCCAAATATACCAGAAGACTGAGATGAAGTCCGCTGGGGTAAACTGAAGTGGACCAAATTGAAGTAGACTGGACTGGACTCTATTCCACTCTCCGCTACTCTGCTCTACGCTACTCTACTCTACTCTAATCAAATCTACTCTACTACGCCGACTCTACTCTACCATCACCCCTACTCGACCCTACTCTGCTCTACCCTCAAACCTCCTCACTATCTCCTACCCGAACCGACCCTACTCCTCTTCTCAACTCTACTCTACTCTGCCTTTATCCTAATCTACTCTACTCTACAATAATATAAGATACTATCCTCTGCTCTGCTCCTCTCTATTTTACGATACCCCGTTCGACTCGACTCGATCATACTCGACTCTACCCTACCATCTACCCTGATACACGATGCTCGGTTCTACTCGACCTACTCCTACACGAAGCTACTGTACTCTACTCTACTCTACCGTACTCTACTCTACTCTACTCCTAATCCTTATTCCTTATTAGAATATACGCCTACTCCCCCCTCAGGCCGGCCGATAGGGGCCGCATCCGGGTGGTCCCATCCTAACCCGTAAAAAACAATACAAACTCAAAATGTTTCTTATTTTTTCCTCTCGACATGGACGTCCTGTCGTCCACGGCGATAATCCATTGCAAAAAATACCACAAAGAGCACACGCGCGCGTTCATGTCAGAATCCTACCGAACACCGTGTGTTTGCAAGCATTTCAACATAAAAACATCAAAAACCCAATGCTTTTTCACAAAAATTCTACAAATTTCCTGCCCGGGCTCTCTTGCTGAAATCATAGGAAAACCATAGGAATCTTAAGAATTCGGTCAAATCCAGCGATTTCACGTCATCGCGCGGTGCACTCGCGATGCTCTGTCATGCACCCAGGCCGCGAATCCTGTGCAAAAAATACCACAAAGAGCACACTCGCGCGTTCATGTCAGAATCCTACCGAACACCGTGTGTTTGCAAGCATTTCAACATAAAAACATCAAAAACCCAATGCTTTTTCACAAAAATGCTTTGGGGTGTCCTGTCAGACCGTCGGGCTTCCTCCGGCCACCTCTGGCTTCCTGCGGTGTACCGGGCCATTCTCGACTCGTCTGGCAATGCGTGCGCGGCATTCAACACGCGCTCGCCAGTTCCCGTCGGCAACCGCCATCGCGGCCGCATCAGCTGTACCAAACCGGCTGGCCGGTGTGACTTCGGCCCCCAGTTGTGCCAGCTTTGCTTCTTATGTTGTGGGAGGGCGGGTGGGACTGGGCATGCCATGCTTGACTCGCTCGAGCTGGCTAGCTTGACCCTACTCTACTCCTACTCTAATCTACACTTCGTTGCTCCACTCGACTCGAACGTTAGCTCGCGACGAACGAAAGCAAGCCAGACGCGTCATATATGTATATATATATATATATATATATATATTAAAACAAAAAAAACTGCTCGGGCGAATCGCCCGCCAGGTGGAGCACACACCACGGCGGCGCGGGTGATTAGCGCCGACACTCGGCCGCCACTTGGAGGGCGACAGGCGCGACGCAAGCGGCGCCGCCGCAGCAGGGGGGACATAAACGCCTGCGCTACACCGGGGCATTTGGGCCAAAATGGCTGGCGATGCACACTAACAAGAAAAAGGAGGCGGGAGGAAGAGGCGCCTAACAGCTGGTGGGCGGCGCCGGCCTGGCTACAAACAAGAAAGGGGAAAGGGGGGAGGAGCGGCAGAAGCAGGCGGCAACCGCTCCTCGTTCTCATTTTCTCCCCCCCTTCCCACGACCCTCCTCAATTACAACATGTCCTAGTACGACACCAACGACAACGACGACGACGACGACGACGACAACCACGACGACCACGACCACGACCACGACCACGACCACGACGACGACAACGACGACGACGAAAAAGAAGTAGAAGACGATCACCACGGTGACACCCACAACGATGGCGACGACGACGACGACGACGACGACGACTGCAACGACGACGACGACGACGCCTGTGGCGCGTCAGTAATCAGCCTGGGGGGAACTTCGTTCCGGTTGTATACGATCCCTTTTACAACGTCTTCACCAAGGACGACGACGACCACCACCACCACCACCACGGCGACGTTGATCACCACGACGACGACCGCAACGACGACAACGAAGGCGACGACGACGACGGAACTTCTGTGGCGCGTGAATAATAAACCTGGGGGGGAGCGTCATCTCGATCTTTTACAATCCCTACTTCACTTCCCCTACGAAAGACGACGACGACGACGACGACGACCACGACAACGACCACGACGACCACGACCACGACGGCGACAACGACAGCGACCACGACGACGACGACGACGACGACGACGACGACGACGACGACGACGACGACGACGACTGCGACGACGACGACGAAGACGACGACGACGACGACTGTGGCGCGTCAGTAACCAGCCTTGGGGGGAAACTTCGTCTCGGTTGTATACGATCCCTTTTACAACGTCTTTACCAAGGACGACGACGACCACCACCACCACCACCAACACCACGGTGACGTTGATCACCACGACGACGACCGCAACGACGACAACGAAGACGACTACGACGAAATTCCTGTGGCACGTCAGAATAAACCTGGGGGGAGCGTCATCGCGATCGTCTACGATCCCTACTACACCTCCTTTACGAAAGACGACGACGACGACGACGACGACGACCACGACCACGACGGCGACAACGACAGCGACCACGACGACGACGACGACGACGACGACTGCGACGACGACGACGACGACGACGACGACTGTGGCGCGTCAGCAACTAGCCTTGGGGGAATTGTCGTCTCGGTTGTACACGATCCTTTTTACAACCTCTTTACAAAGGACGACGACGACCACCACCACCACCACGACGACGACGACGACGACCACCACCACGAGGACGACCGCAACGACGACGACGACGGAACTTCTGTGGTGCGTGAATAATAAACCTGGGGGGGAAGCGCCATCTCGCTCGTTGACGATCCCTGCTACACTTGCCTTACGAAAAACGACGACGACCATGACGACGACCACGACGACGACCACGACGGCGAGCACGACGGCGACAACGACAGCGACCACGACGACGACGACGACGACGACGACGACAACGACTGTGGCGCGTCGGTAATCAGCCTGAGAGGGGAAACTTCGCCACGATTGTATACGATCCCTATCACATGTTCTATGTTATCGGCGATCGTTCTGAGGCTGCAGCGCAGGGGGGTATACGATTCCCTCGGCGGCACCCGCGTTGAGCCCCTGGCGCGCGTGATTAAAAAATTAGCTTCGCGCCCCAAAGTGTCTATTCATCAGCCTCTGGGGGGGCATCATTGCCAATCACAAGCTGAGATTACGCTGTTACGCTGCGCTTCTCTACTCTACTCTGTTCTAGTTTGCTCTACTCCTCCCCACTCAAATACTAGTCTCTACTCTACTCTACTCTGGTCCTCTCTACTCTGCTCTACTCTACTTCTGACTTTGACGATTGTTGGACGATAGCCACAGGAAGCCGTTTGAATAGCAGACGAACAATGCGGAGACCGAAGAAGCCATGCGGATGGCAGAGAAAGCCACGCAGATACAGAGGAAGCCGTGCGGATAGCTTGACGACTGCAGGGGCAAAATACAGGGGCGACTAGTGGACCAGCTCTCTGTGGCCTGGGCCAGGGCTCCTACAATAATCGTCCTACCATAGGGAACGCACAATGGGGAACGAAGGCAAGGGGCTGCTCTGCCCGCGGCGGGCCTAGGCCACAAACACTTTTAGCGTCGGCGGCTGGGCAGAGGGCGACTGCTCTGGCGATGAAGGCAAAGAACGGGGGTACCGTTGGACCGAACTGCGCCACCATGCAGGAGCCCAACACGCTCCACGACAGAAACCCTAGGAACGGCCCAAGAACCCGAGCCCCTCCTGCGCCCGAAGCGGTACTTGAAGTGGGAGCTCGACCACAAGAAACCTTCCACAACAAGCCCTGCCCTGAGACCCCAGGACGCCACGCTTTCCATAGCAGAACCACCGAAACCCAAGAGACCCAGGGCAACCTGGAGGCAAGCAGGGTGTCTCTTGGCATGGGTTACCACTGTACTCCCCTGCTCTTGCCAAAACTTCGAAGAACGTCTACGGCTTATACGGAAGGAGGAGGAGGAGGAGGAGGAGGAGGAGGAGGAGGAGGAGGAGGGGGAGGGGGAGGGGGAGGAGGAGGAGGAGGAGGAGGAGGAGGAGGAGGAGGAGGAGAGGAGTGGGAGGAGAGGAGGAGGAGGAGAAGTAGAAGGAGGAGGAGGAGGAGGAGGAGGAGGAGGAGGGCGCTTCTTGGCAGGGGCTTCCACTGTACTCTCCACTGCTCTGCCCAGAAAACTCCGAAGCGAGAGCATCTACAGCTTCGAAGAAAGGAGGAGGAGGAGGAGGAGGAGGAGGAGGCGGAGGAGGCGGAGGAGGAGGCGGAGGAGGAGGAGGAAGATAGGGGAGGAGGAGGAGGAGGATGAGGAGGAGGAGGAGGAGGGCTATAGGGGAGGGGGAGGAAGAGAGCACTTCGACCCTCGAAGAGAGAGAGAGAGAGAGAGAGAATCCGGCCGAGGCGGCGAGGAGCTCTCCAGGACGCGCCGCCCGCGCCGGCCTCCTGCGCCTCCAGGGCCGCCCGCCAGGGGGGCAGCGCCCCCGAAGCCGCGAGCCGCTCGGGCGCACCCGAAGCCGCCGCGTCGCCGCCCAGGCCCGCCGCGCCCCCCGGGGCGCCGCCGCCGTCGCCGGGGCCGGGCGCGCCCTCGAAGCCGCCGGCGTCGCCGCCGAAGGCCGCGGCGCCCTGCTCGGGGACCAGACTAAAACAGGGCTAGGATCGGGATAAATCGCTCCAGAGCGTTCCGGAGCGCTCTCAGAGCGTTCTGGAACGCTCTGGAGCGGACGCGGCGCCCAATACATCCTCCAAACCCGCCGATTCTCAGAGATTTCGAGTTATCCCGATCCGATTTTGTCCCGATCTTCGTGTCGTTTTAGCCCTGCTCGGGGACCAGAGCCCCTCGGGCAGGGAAGAACTCATCACGGGAGGTTTCTTTTCGTCTTCTCGGCCTCTGGAGGCCCTCGCCGCATGTTGCTTCGTATTCTCAGCCTCTGGAGGCCCTTACCGGCCCTCTCGGGACCGTCAAGAAACGACTCGGGATGAAAAACCGGTCCAGGGGAATGGGTCGAGCCCCCTGGGGGTCGGCGTTGTGAAAAAATCATGCCGTCGGGGGTCTGGGGGGGGGGGCGGGGGGAGGGGCAGCTGGCCCGCCGGGGATTAATTACTCTCAATGACAAGCTAACCATGCTTTCATCTACGCTTTGCTCTTTCGAGCTGTCTTCCTGCTCATCTGCGCCCTCACCAGATGTGGGTCTGAGTTTGGGTCTGACCACCCAGACCTTCCAGGAGGGCTAAAAAATAGCACCCGACTTAAAAACCTATCCCAAAGCTACTCTACGTCTTGGTTTTGGGCTGTTTCGCTCAGCTTTTTAAGTTTTTAGGTCTCCAGTGCTAAAAAATAGCTCTCTGGAAGGTCAGGGCAATTTACGGCGATCCGCGGGAGGGGGGGGTCCCGGGCCCATGGGGCCATCACCGCTCGATGCGGCTCGAGAAATGCCGCAGGGAAGAGACGGGGTTGCGAGCTCTGGGAGTGATGCGTCACGACGCTGCACCTGTTTCGCAACGTCAGCCGGTAGAGGGAAACAATTACTGAACACCCCCCCTCCCCCCCAAACTCAATGTTGGCACGCGCGGGGGAGACTGCGGTCGAAATGCATCTCATCAGACCCACGCCCAACTTTGAACATTGGGGGGAGGGGGTGGCGTTGACGGATGAATCTGGCATGTGTTCGCTAATTTGTTCCGAGGCCTGGATCTCAGGGAAGGCTGCTCGGGACAGGCCGCGCGCGCGCGCGAGCAGAGCTGGTCGGGTGGGGGGGGCAAGAAGAATGGGCAAGCTCTGAGATCCGGTCCGACGTTGCGAAAAAACTGCAACGTCGTGAAAAATCACGCCCGGACCCCAGGACCCCATCTCTCTGCGTCATCTTTCGAGCCAGAGCGATCTGTGAGGGTCCCAGGGCCCGAACCCGGGCGGAAGAGCCCAGCTCGAAAAAATTGCAACGCCAGGATCTCCGACAGGCGGAGGGCGGGGACGGCGTCTGCTCGAGCCGACCGGACCACGAGAAGCGGGAAGGGATCAGCGGCCAAGATCTGCTGGAGTCTCCGCCACCCAGGAGGGGCGCCTCGGCCTGGGGCCCCCTCCGCGCACAAGCCCCGACTGGATCACGATCGGGAAGACGCAAGACTCGGGTACAGGGGACTCGGGTTGGCCTGACGGGGGCCACCATAAAAACGACGAGGCCCAATCTGAAATTCGACGCGGGCCCCCGCTGCAGACGTCCCACGAAAACGGGACCGTGAAAATCCGGGACGCGCTCGTCAAAAAAAAGAGCCGGCAAACCCGAGCCCAGGCTCGGCTCACCCGAGTCTTACGCTTCCCCGACACGAGAAGCGGGAGGAGACCATCGGCCAGGATCTGCCGTGGCCTCCGCCGCCCACCCGCCCGCCCGCCCCAGGGGGGGGGCCTCGGCCGGTGCCCCCTCCGCGCACCACGGCGGCGCGACCTCCTCGTGCGCCTCCCCGCGCGCGTGCTTCCTGTGCTTCCTGTGCTGCCTGCGGTGGTCGCGGCGCCGCTCCTCTGGCGGGGGGCCTGGACCCCCGCCGCCGCCCGCCCACGCAGCCTGCGGGCGCTGGGGGGGGAGGGGGGAGGAGGAGGAGGAGGAGGAGGAGGAGGAGGAGGAGGAGGAGGGGAGGAGGAGGAGGAGGAGGCGGAGGAGGAGCAGAGGAGCAGGAGGAGCAGGAGAGTAGCAGGAGGAGCAGGAGCAGGAGGAGCAGGAGGAGCAGGAGGAGCAGGAGGAGCAGGAGGAACAGGAGGAGCAGGAGGAGGAGGAGGAGGAGGAGGAGGAGGAGGAGGAGGACGATGACGACGAGGAGGAAGAGGCCCCACCGCCGTCCTCTGGCGCCGGCGCCGGGCCCTCCCAGCCCCCGTCGGCGCCCCAGGCCAGCGCGATCTCCCCCGACGCCCCGCTCGGAGGCGCCCCGTGCCCGTCCGCGAGCTGCTGGCCCGCGGCCCTGCTCACGGCGTCGGGTGCCCAACCTCCGAGGCTCGGCGACGCGGGCCGCTCGGGCGCCGGCCGGGCGGCAGCTCCCCCGTCCGCTTCGTCGGTCAACCGCTCCCCCGTCGCCGCCGCGCCGTCCCCGGCGCCGTACTTCTGGAAGATAGGGGAACGAAGGACGGCATGAGCATGAAAACTCAGAGCTCCGCGCGGCTTTCTCGGAGCGGCGCCGGGCCCCCCTCCCTGGCGCGCGGAGCGCGCCAGGGGCGGCGCCAGCGGCGCCGCCAAGAGGGTCCGGCGCAGATCCGAGGAATCCGCGCGGACCTCCGAGTTTTCATGTTTATGTCATTGTTCGCTGCCCTAGAAGAGCCTGCGCAGCATGCGCGCTCAGTCGGTGGCGCTGGTGGCGGCGCGGGTCTGGGCGCCATCCTGCGGCATGGCGGCCCGGCCAGCAGTGGCGGCTGATGGGAGGGTGGCATCTCGGGCAGGACGCCCTGGCCCGAAGCGACAAAGAAGGGGGGGAGCAAGGACAAACCACGCCAAGACCTCCCACGCCGCGGTTGTCACTCAGGCTGAACATACACGTTGTGTTGTTCGTTTATTGTGTTTCAGTTTGCCCATACCTGTTTTCCTGAACCTCCTTGCCAAAACGAAAAATTATCTCAGTGCGACCCTACCTAGGAGTTGGAGCCTTTAGGAAAGCAACATTAGTAGGAGCGGAGCGGTAAACGCCGTCCTCCTCCTTCTCCTCATCGTCGTCACTGTAGCAGTAGCGATAGTAGTAGTAGTAGTAGTAGTAGTAGTAGTAGTAGTAGTAGTAGTAGTAGTAGTAGTAGTAGTAGTAGTAGTAGTAGTAGTAGTAGTTGCATAGTAGTAGTAGTAGTAGTAGTAGTAGTAGAAGTTAGTAGTAGTCGCCAGCAGTAGCATCTAGCTGTAGCTGTAGTAGCAGTAGTAGTAGTAGTTAGTAGTGTAGCAGCAGTGTAGTAGTCAGTAGTAGCAGCAGCAAGCAGCAGTGTTTAGTTAGTAGTAGTTTGTTTTAGTAGTAGTATTTGGTTATGCAGTAGTAAAGTTAGTAGTAGTAGTCGTCTGTAGCCAGCCAGTAGCAGGGCAGTAGCAGTAGTAGTAGTAGTAATAGTAGTAGTAGTAGTAGTAGTAGTAGTAGTAGTAGTAGTAGTAGTAGTTCGTAGTAGTAGTAGTAGTAGTAGTAGTAGTAGTAGTAGTAGTAGTAGTAGTAGTAGTAGTAGTAGTGTAGTAGTAGTGTAGTAGTAGTAGTAGTAGTAGTAGTAGTAGTAGTAGTAGTAGTAGTAGTAGTAGTAGTAGTAGTAGTAGTAGTAGTAGTAGTGGTGGTGGTGGTGGTGGTGGTGGTGGTGGCGGTGGTGGTGGTGGTGGTGGTAGTTTTTGTAGCGCCAGAACCGCCGACGCCACGCCGTAAGTGAAGCAGCAGCAGAAGCACGCAGCAAGTCGCCGAGACAGCAGCAAAAGCAAGCAGGCACGGAGATGAGGGCGGGGCACTGGGGAGTCCTTTTTACATCTACACCTATATCTACACCTACACCTACATCGACACCTACATCTACATCTAGACCTACATCTACATCTACACCTACAGCTACATCTACATCTACACCTGCATCTACATCCACATCAACAGCGAGATTCACATCTACATATACATCTACACCTACATCTACACCTACACTTACATCTACATCTACATCTACATATACATCTACACCTACATCCACATCTACACCTACACCTACATCTACTTATATATATATATATATACACTTTCGCATTGGTTTTGTTTTTGCTTTGCATTGCCTTTGCTTTTGCTCGTGCCGTTGCTTTTCCCTTTGCCTTGGCCTACACCGCACGACTTGGCATTGAGCAAGGTTGTGCAACACTTGCTACACCGAACGTTCCTACGAAACTGTACAGCAGCAGCAACTCCCAGATCGGTGCAACAAGCTGTTCAGCATTGTTTCGGCGGGCATCATCGGCGCTGGGATATGCGGTTTCACCAGAGTGGTGTGCTGCTGTGCTGCGCTATGCTATGCTATGCTATGCTATGCTCTGCTCTGCCATGCTATGCTATGCTATGCTATGCTATGTTATGCTGCACAATGCTACGCTGGGCTAGGCTAGGCTATGCTATGCTATGCTATGTTATGCTATGCTGCGCTATGCTATGCTGGGCTATGCTCTGCTATGCTATGCTATGCTATGCTATGCTATGCTATGCTATGCTATGCTATGTGTTTGCTTTGCCTTCGCTTTTGCCTTCACTTTTGCCTTTGCTTTTGCTTTTGCTTGGCACCCAGGGAGCACAACTGGGGGAACCGCGCGTTTGCTTTTACCTTTGCTGTTGCTTTTGCTTGGTTCCCAGGGGACTGGGGGAACCGCCCGGGGCGGTTTCCACTGCCCGGCCCCTTTAAGCCAACAGAGTAAGAACCCTTCTAGGCAGAGCCTAGGTAGGGAACAAAACACAGCCGAAGCCCAGGAAACAGCATTTGGGTCCAGCCCTGTTACAACATCCGGAAAGTAAATGTCTCTCGACCCCACCTCCGCGTGAGGGAAGAAAAAAGAAGCGGGCCTCACGCGAGAAGTCATGGCGACCCTGCGCAAAATTTTATGACTACCTACCAGACCACCCCAACCCAACCCGAAGACCCGAATTTCGGGTTGGGGGGGGTTATGGGTTCCATACGTGTTTTTCCGATGTTCCCCGACCCCCCCCCACTGGAAATGGAGGGCAAATTGAAGCCTTCGGGTTGGGTTGGGGTGGTTTGGTAGGTGGTGAGTTTACGCGGGCAGCCAGCGCGGCACGCCACATCGGAAACGAAGGCGCTCACGCACCACCTGACGCAGGCAGCTTGCCCGCCGCGAGTGTCCGCGCAGTCGACCCCGTTTTTGCTCCCGTCGCTCGCAGGGGCGTTGTGCGGCGGCTTCCCTGCGGGCCTCAGGGCGCCGAAACTCTGGCAAAAATTGCCCGCCCAGGGCTCCTCCTCTTCTTACGATCCTCCGATCCCCCTCCGATCCCCCTCCGATCATCCATCCTCCTCCCCCGTCCCCGTACGCTCGTTACCGTTACGGGGGGGGGGGGGGGGGAAACCCCCCCCGTAACGGGCGTTACGGGTCCGAGCAATAAAAAAACAAGCTCCCTGATTATCCGCAATCATGAGCTGCAGTGGCAAGGATGCTCGGCCCAAGCTGTTCTATCGCACCCGAGCCAGGCTTATCATCACACCTGAGTTTTTTATCACACTTGAGCCGACCATCGTTGCCACTGCAGCTCGTGATTGCGATTCGGTGGGGCATGTTCTCCTACAGGCGCATTTTTTAGGAACAATGTAAAATAATAGACTACTTACAGTCGAAAAGTATCATAACAAATACTCGAAAATCGTCACCCGACCAGTGTCTTACTATGTCTGAAGGTTCCTCCTGTACAGGGACGTGCCCGACTTCAGGCTGCGAGTGCGAGAGGTACATCGCCGTGACGAAAGTTTCTTTCAATTTGCCTTTTGGAGTGACGCGCTCGTGCGGAGTAGTTCAGAGTAGTTTTACTAAAACTACTCCGCGCGCAATCGCATCCCGCTCGATGATTTGTATGGTTTGGCGCGGGATAGTTTCCGATCCCGTTTTGGGATAACAGAGTTATCCGGGATCGGGATCGGAAACCGGGATCGGGATCGGATCCGGGACAGAGTTATCCCGTAGTTATTAACGTCTCCGGGATCGGAAACTACTCCGCCGAATGACCCAGCATCATGTCATGTTAGGAATATTGAGAGGGATGGGAGAGATCTTCATCGTAGCAAAATAAGATGTTTTGTCACGCCTGCGTAAAGCACGCAGACCTCCCGCGCCGCGAGCAAAAGCACGACGGGACTGCTGCCGCAGGCTGCACCGCCTGAGGCCTGCCTCGGGCCCCATAGGGCCAGCCAACAACATCCCCGGGGCAACAGCCCCTTCTCGTCCCCCCCCCGTCCCTCCCCTCTACGAAATCGTCCTCCCCGCCCCCCCGTACCCTGCCCCCCGTCCTCTCCACCCACTCATCATCCTCGCCCCTCCTCCCCCTGTTCCCCCCCTCCCTCCTCGCCCCTCCTCCCCTCACCCACCCGTTCCTCCCTCCTCCCCCTCCTTCCCCCCCCCCCCCGCCCCCCTCCTCGCCCCCCCCTCCCCGATCGGCCTCCGCGACAGGCAAGGCCCGGCAAGGCCCCCCCCCCAGGAGGAAGGAGGGGGGCGAGGGCGGGGGGGGAGTGAGAGAACGGGGGGGGTGGGGGGTGGGGACGCCGCCGGGCGAGGCCCCCCCTCCTCCCTCCGAGGGGGCCCCACCCTCCGCCGCGCGTGGAGCGAGCCGCCCAACGGGCCCAGCGCGCCCTCGGGGCATCCCCCCCCCTCCCGTCCCGGGCCCCTCGCGCGACGACAAACCAAAAAACAAACCAAAAAAAAAAAAAAAAAAAACGGCCACGGCCGACCTCCTGCCCGGCTCAAGAGCAGCTCAGGATGAGGAGGAGCCGGTCCCAGGGAAGGGGCTGGAAGACCCAGGGGCCCACGTCCCGGCAGAAGTCGGCGGGACGTCGGACGTCTGGGAACGTGTTCCCTCCTGCTGTCTCCCCTGAGATCCGACGTCGCGCAAGGAATTGCGGCATCGCGAAGAATCACAGCCAGAGCCCTAGGCCCAAGCTTCTGGCGGCATGTATCGAGCCGGATCGATATGTGAGGGCCCTAGGCGTGAAACCCAGAGAAGACGTTCGGCGCGAAGAACTTCAACGCCTGGAGGATCTCGGGGCACCTCCTCCGACCGCGACGACGACACGACGACGACGACGATGACGGCCACGACGACGACGACGGCCACGACGACGACGACGGCCACGATGACAACGACGACGACGACGACGACAACGACGACGACGTGGGCCACGACGACGACGACGACAACAACGCCGTCGCCGCCGACGGCGACGGCGACGACGACACGACCGCCACGACGACGGCCACGACGACGACGGCCACGACGACGACGACAACGACAACGCCGCCGTCGCTGCCGCGGCCGCCGACGACGGCGCCGCCGCCGACGACGGCCACGACGACGACGACGACGACGACGACGACGACGACGACGACGGCGACGGCGACGGAGACGGCGACGGCGACGGCGACGGCGACGGCGGCGAGGGCGGCGGCGGCGACGGCGACGACATCCGGCGGCGGCGCGCCCGCGGCGGCGCCTCGCTCGCCGGCGGGGGGCGGCTCGGCCTGTTCGACTCGGCGCCTGTGGGAGGGCCGCGCGCGGCCGCCGCCGCCGCCGCCGCTGCCGCCGCCGCCGTCGTCGTCTCGTCGTCTCGTCGTCGTCGCCGCCGCCGCCGCCGCCGTCGTCGTCGTCGTCGTCGTCGGTCCGTCGTCGTCGTCGTCGTCGTCGTCGTCATCCTCGTCGTCGTCGTCGTCGTCGTCGTCGTCGTCGTCGTCGCCGTCGCTGCGGCACGCCGACGTCGTCGCGGCCGCCGTACCTGGGCGCTTTCCCTTCACGCCAGCCTCCAGGAGCCGCCCGCGGGCGCCGGGCCATCAAGAACGGGCCCCGCGGGCGCACAGCTACCCCAGGGGGACAGGGCGGGACCTCGGGGGCCGCGGATGGAGAAAAAAATCGTACCGGCGGCGACGGCCACGACGGCCACGACGACGACGACGACGACGACGACGACGACGACGACGACGCCGCCGCCGACGACGACGACGACGACGACGACGACGACAACGACGACGACGACGACGACGACGGCCACGACGACGCCGACGACGACGACGCCGACGACGACGACGACGACGACGACGACGACGACGACGACGACGACGACGACGACGACGACGGCGGCGGCGGCGGTGGCGGCGGCGGAGGTGGCGGCCTCGGCGGCGGCGGCGGCGATGATCGTATCGGCGGACGTGAAGGTGTTCGTCACACGGCCGCCGCCATCGGGGTGCAAGAGGGACACATAGCAGGACGAAGTGGGGGTGAGGATGACGATGATGACGATGACGACGACGAGGGCGAAGATGACGATGATGACGATGATGACGATGACGACGGGGGGGGGAGGGCGAGGACGAGGACGAGGATGACGATGAGGATGCCGACGACAACGACGACCATGACGACCACGACGACCACGACCACGACGACGACCACCACGAACACGACGACGATGACGGCGACGAGGAGGAATGACGCAAGAGGGGGGGGGAGGCAGGAGGAGGGAGGAGGGAGAAGGGAATGGAGGTAGGAAGGGAGGGAATGAGGAGGAGGAGGAGGAGGAGGGAGAGGGAAAGCGAGGGGGAAGGGAAAGTAGTTTGCCAAATCCGCCGGCCCCAATGCGGGGCCATCAGGATGCGAGGATTAAGTTCGCTGCTCCCTGCACCAACTCCAGTTTCCAATGTTCCAATCTTGCTTTCTGCTTCCTACTGTAAATTGTTACTGTCCGCGCGAGGGAGGGAGCCGAAAAGGACCCTGGGTACTAACCCCGGCGGGTTCTCAGAATTTCTTGGGGGGCCGTGGGACATGTAAAAATACTTACGATTCGCGCTCCCGACGCAATAACCCTTCGCAAATTAAACTGTAGTCGCGCCCCCGAGGCCAAGATCTTTAGCAAATTGCCTTATACTCGCGTCCCCGAAACCACGATCCCTCGTAAAATACACCATGCTCACGCCCCTGAAGCCACGATCCCCTGTAAATTACACCACGCTCTCGCCTCTGTGGCCACGACCCCCTGTAAATTACCCCAAGGTCGCGCCCCCGAGGCTACGCCGAATAAATCACGCCACACTCGCGCTCCCGAGGCCACGATCTCCCGCTAATAACACCACGCTCGGGCCCCCGAGGCCGCGATCCCGCGTAAATTACCCCACATTTGCGCCCCGAAGCCACGATCCTTTGTAAATCGCGCCACGTTCGCGCCCCCGAAGCCACCATCTCCTGCAAGAGGCCCCGAAAGACGCCCAAGGCGCGCCCAAGAGGCCCCCGAGAAGCCCAAAAGATACCCCACGAGGCCCCAAGATGCCCCCAAGAGGCGCCCAAATTGCCTCTAAGAGGCCCCCGAGAGGCTCCCAACGACACCCCAACACATATACACGAGGCCTCAGGCACACAACCCAGGCACGGTGGCGGGATGGGCCGAAGGCCACTAGGATCCGCCGCCCCCTTTTGATTTATCAACGGAGTGCCTGGCGCGCCGGATGATATGGTTTTGGATATGGGCTCTTTTTCCAAAAAAACTGCCCCTGGGGCTTCGGCCCGTCCCGCCGGCCACCCGGAAAGGATGTCAAAACGCGTCCGTCATGCCTCTGTTTCCTCCAGTTGGCCCAAGATGGCGCCCAAAACGGCCAAGATGGCCCAGGATGGTTTCCAAGACGTCTCCAAGACGGCCCAAGAAGTTTGAAAGAGGTTGGGAGGCCCAACCAGCAGCTTCGCCTCAGGCGAAGCCAAGCTCCCGCTCTGTTGTACCGCAGTAACGATTGCCCCAGTAGTAGGAGGCGAACCATCTCAAGCAGTTTTGGTATCGATGGCAAATATTACACCTCGCGCTGAGGTGTAGTCAGATCTGGGCGGCCGGCCGCTTTGAGCCAAGCAGCCGCGGATGCACGCTCGTCCCCACTCACGTGCAACGCCCAGCTCACTTTAGAGTCGGGGGATGAGGGAAACGAGGCGTGAACCCGCCGCCCCTATACAGCAGGTACAGCAGCGACGATTTACAAAAAAGGCGGCAAGAGGGCGGGGCCGTAAGGAAGCTGGACCCGCACGCAAGTTGCCTTGCCTGCACTATTCAATGCATACGAATACTCCTCAGGCGGCCACAGAACGAGATGTCTGGCCAGCCTGATAGGAAGGATGACTCTTTAAATCATGTTTGAAAGATTGTGTACCTCCCATGACCTGTAGGAGCATCTCTCTGTCGATGCTCCCCTTGGTGTGACCGTCCGCAGTCATATCGCGGGTGTCGCACCACTGAATACTGCGCCCGATTTCTCACTCCATCATCTGCCGTATCCAGCTGATGTGTCCTAAAAAGGTACACCCAGTCGGCTTTTTCAAGTCTTTGCTTGACAAAGGTTTTTTTTTCTATATATATATATAAAAAAAAAAAAAAAAAAAAAAAAAAAAAAAAAAAAAAAAAAAAAAAAAAAAAAAAAAAAAAAAAATGGCCCAAGTGACCTTGATGCTCAGGCCACCCAATTCAAGTACGTCTTGCAGCTGAGTGGGAGTTAGCGGCCCTGCGTGGAGCTCGCGCAGAGTCACGATCGTGGGAAAACAGTCCTCCCCGTTGTGGGCAGCTGCTAGTGTCTCTGCTGAATAGCTCGAGCGGACCTGCAAGCGGTGAGACTTGCAGCGCGCATCGATCAAGTGGACGACGGGCTTACCAAATGGCGTGCTTCCACGCAGTAGCAGGTTTCCCCCGCGAGTACCATAGCCTTTGGCTTCGTCGTCGGCGTCTCCACTCAGGCGTCGGTAGCCTAAGTCGTTGCGCAGGTCAACCTCGCCCGTAGGGGTCATCGCCTGGTAGACGATCTTCTTGGGGCAGGCTTGCAGCTTCCTGGTGATCGCGCTCAGTCGTCGCACTTGTAGATCGGTCGGTTGTTGGACACGTTGTAGAGAAACAACATGCAACATTATCCCAGTGCGACCCTACCTAGGAGTTGGAGCCCCCAGGAAAGCAGTATTAGTAGTAACAGTAAAGCTAAGCTAAGCTACAGCTAAGCTAAAACTGAGCTAAAGCTAAACAGAAGCTAAGCAAAAGCTAGGCTAAAGCTAAGCTAAATCTGAGCTAAAGATAAGTTAAAGCTAAGCTGAAGCTAAGCTGAAGTTAAGCTGAAGCTAAGCTGAAGCTGAGCTAAAGCTAAGCTAAAGCTAAGCTAAAGCTAAGCTAAAGCTAAGCTGAAGCAAAGGTAAAGCTAAGAGAAAGCTAAGGTGAAGTTACGCTAAAGCTAAGCTAAAGCTAAGCTAAAGTTAGGCTAAAACTAAGCTGAAGCTAAGCTGAAGCTAAGCTCAAGCTAAGCTGAAGCTAAGCTGAAGCTAAGCCAAAGCTAAGCTGAAGCTAAGCTGAAGCTGAGCTAAATCTGAGCCAAAGCTAAACTAAAGCTAAGCTGAAGCTAAAGCTAAAGCTAAAGCACCCAGGGGACTGGGGGAACCGCGGGGCGGATCCTGGGGGAACCGCCCGGGGCGGGTTCCACTGCCCAGCCCCTGCATACCGAGTAAGAACCCTCCTAGGCAGAGCCTAGGTAGGGAATCAACCACACCTGGGTGGGAAATGCATACGCCAGCGCGCATCTAAGGCTGACGAACACGTCTGCAACCATCTCGGATGCCTGAGCGTCAGCGTCGGCGCCGGTGAGTTCAGGACGTTGCATAGGACGGAGCTGCTTGATGTTTTCGTCCTGGTCCAAAGTAACATTGCTGTCTTCATCAGCACAATTGGTGCACGTGTGCTCGTTGAGTCTACACTTACCAAAGGTGTCTTCCACGCTTGACACACTTGTCAGCGGTGTCCTCAGTACCGGCCACATTGATATCATCAACATGTTTGGCCGTAAGCAGGTTACTGCTCGTTTCGAACTCCTCGTCGTAGGACGTGGGTCTGAGACCAAAACCTCCCATGGTCCTTCTGAGCTTTAGTGAGAAAGCTCGGGGTGCGTCTTCGGTGCCAGTGCCTGGTTTTAAGGCACTGCAAGCTGCGCTTTGACTCGTCGTAGCGTTCGAATCCCGGGAGAGTTCGAAGCACCGCGGCCGATCCAGGCGGCAAAATAAAACACACCACACGTTCCTTTTCACCAGTTGCCTCAGCAAGTTCCTGGCAGGACAACCCCTCCAGGAAGGCCATGTTGATGTCGAGGGAGGCACATGACACATTGCTTCTTGCACGCTGCCGTGCTCGCGAGTAGTCTCTGGCTCGACCGCCGCGCAGTTCCCGAAAAAGGCCCCCATGTCAACGGCTTCAAGACCTATGAAGCCTCGAAGCACCAAGCGCAATCAGATTGCACGTTCCATTTCGCCCTTCTCGTTCTTCACAAACTTCAATGTGTGCACATACCTCGAATTTATGATGCTTGACGCCTGAGATATGTCTTGCAGTTTGAAACTCTTGTTGTCAAACCATGTCTTGAGTTCAGTGTAGAGGGCCTTCGATACTTTCTCGGGGTTCGCCTGGATGTCAGCCTTCGCGACGAGGTCGCCTCCCTGACGACCTCAGCTCGCTTTGCAGCGGCGGCAACATATACTCGCACGGTGGTCAAACGGTCGGCATCCAATATCCTGCGCTGATGTTCGGACAGGACTACCTTTGACACTTCTGCCGTAAAGCCGAATTCTACAGATTGTTTCTTTTCGTCTGAGTCCAGCCCGCAACTGCAATCTTCGACCATGGAGCACAGTGGGACATGATACGTCCCCTCAATGTCGGAGTCGCGCGGGTGCCCCCACTTAGGCAGGTGCCCCCGCCTTTCTTCAGCTACAGTGATCAGCACACTTTTGTCTGGAATCATATGTGTGGGTATTGTGAGAAGATCCTCTAGTGGAGTTGCCTCTAGTAGTTCCCATTCACCCTATAGTTCTGTATACTACACTTCCATCACGTGCGCCTCGAGGTCAACCTCCGATTCCTCATAAATCGTGGGAAGCCGTCCATCCTCCTGTGGTGGTTCGGCTTCTGAGGCTTCACTTGCAGTTCCATCGGTGTCGATGCATCCGCCAATTCTTCAAACTTTGTCATATACTGGTCATAGCCTGCTGGAGGTGTGGTGGACTTCAGCCACTGGGTGATTCTAGAATGTGCTCATCCAGTTATATCGTAAATGTTAAAAGAGGTGCCTTCTGCTTCATTAAAGTGAATTCCTGGATTCATATTGTTATCCTAGTGAACCAATGTGCAACTGTCAGCGCAAGCAACCAGAGGTAGCTTATGGATACGCTTGGCTAACCTGACAGAAACTACGTTCTCAATGCGGAAGAAGTTTCTGATGAGGTATTGTAAAGCTAGATGCACCTTAGGAGATAGCCGGCTTGCACTTGTCACCTGAAGCATCCCCTTCTTGGTCGGTACACAGCAACATGTCATAGCAGGTCCCCCCGCAGCTAAACTGGTTACGAACGTCAACATTGTCCGTACTGCAGTGCTGTCGGAGCCAATTTCTCTGGTTTTCGAAGCTTCAATATAGGAGTGACTGGCGAGCATCGCCGTATTGTACCTGAACGTCGCGGCTTCCCACTCGAATGATGACTTGGCCCCTCCCGGGGTCGTTTCTTACGACTGGGAATGGGCCATCCCAGCCTACCCAGTCGTCCTTCGTGGCTGTGGGGCGATGGTAATCAACTAAATCTACTTCATCGCAGTAATGCTGACCCGTAACAGTTGTCTTAGTGCGAAATGCACTATTGGTCTTGGCTACTGCAGTGGCCTGTGTGATAGCCTCAATGCATACTTTGCGTATCATGTGTTCACGAGAGTGATCCGACGTTTCCGTCGGCTGTTCGTGACCCAGGATAGGTGAGTCAGGGACCATTGCTGGTTGCCGTCCAAACAAAGCGCTGCATGGAGACACCTCACTGTAGAAGGTGCACGCGCTGGCCGTAAACAAGGCCTCATGCAGCAGTCGTGTGAACACAAGAGGTAGGTCTAACCTGTTGAGTTCAGCTTCCATGACATGAAGTAGATGGCGCAATATGCCATTTCTGGTTCGATCGTCGTAGCGTGTTGTCCACGCGCACGTATCCTTAGTTCAGTGCCCTTTGCCTTGAGGACTGTTTTCGCAGTGTCGTTGTTGAGGGCACGGCGTGCGGTGCGGAAGCAACTGTGCCTAGAAAAAGAAAAGCTACAAAACCATAAACTGTCGGAGGCCCGCGCGGGTTTCTTGGATCGGGGCTGGACCCCCCGTGGCGGCGCCTCTGGCCGCCACTTCCGCGCTCCACGCGCCACGGAGGGGGGGGCCCAGCGCCGATACGAGATATGCATCCGTGCGGGACGCACAAAATGTAAATTTCTGCCGGTGACTGTTCTTCGGATGTTGCCGTGCGGACGGTCCCGAACTCGGACGTGCGCCGTGCCGTTTGGCGCCGTGTGGGCGAGCCAGGGGTCGGGTTCAATTGCCCAGTGCCGAACCGTGTGGTGCCATTGGATTCGGCTGGTCGAAGCCGTGGCAATGGTCACGAACTCGGTCGCCTGGTGCTGTGCCGTGCCGTGCCATGTTTCTTTTAGCGAAGTCAGGAGCTTCTCACTCGCATGCGACGCAATGGCAACTATAAACGCCTGTTGGTTTCACGCGCTCGCGGGCATGTCCAACACGTCCCGAGCACCTATGCCTCACACCGCAAGACGGAAACAGCGGGCACGGTGCAGAGAGGAGCCTCATGCACCATTGATCCGCAGGAGCGACGCAACATCGCGCCGCAGCCGCCCTCTCCTCCTGCTCCTCCTCCTCCTCCTCCTCCTCCTCCTCCTCCTCCTCCTCCTCCCCCTCCTCCTCCTCCTCCTTCGCCTCCTCCTCCGCCTCCTCCTCCGCCTTCGTCCTTTGCCCCCTTCTCCTCCGCCTCCTTCTCCTCCTCCTCCTCCTCCTCCTCCTCCTCATCTTCCTCCTCCTCCTCCTTCGCCTCCTCCTCACCACCATCACCACAACCATCACCATCACCATCACCATCACCATCATCCTCCTGCTCATCCTCCTCCTCCTTATCATCATCATCACCATCATCATCATCATCATCATCATCAGCAGCAACAGCAGCAGCAGAAACCTAATCATCACAATCATCATCATCATGATCATCATCATCATCATCATCATCATCATCATCATCATCACCATCAGCATCATCATCAGCATCATCACCATCATCATCAGCATCATCATCGTCATCATCATCATCAGCAGCAGCAGCAACATCATCATCATCATCAGCAGCATCATCATCATCATCATCATCATCATCATCATCATCATCATCATCATCATCATCATAATCATCATCATCGTCATCAGCATCAACACATCATCATCATCATCATCATCATCAGCAGCAGCAGCAGCATCAGCATCAGCATCAGCATCAGCGACATCATCAAGATCACCATCATCATCAGCAGCAGCATCATCATAATCAGCATCATCAGCATCAGCATCAGCATCAGCATCAACATCAGCATCAGCATCCGCATCATCATCATTAACAGCACCATCATCATCAGCATCAGCATCAGCATCAGCATCAGAGGTATCAGCATCATCATCGTCATCATCATCGTCAGCATCATCACCACCATCATAATCTGCAGTATCATCATCGGCATGAGCACCATCATCAGCACCATCGTCATCATCATCACCATATTCATCACCACAACCATCACCGCCATCATCATGATCAGCATCACCATCATCAGTAGCATCATCACCATCATCATCATCATCATCATCATCATCAGCATCATCATCATCATCATCATCGCAATCATCATCATCTCCGTCCTCCTCCTCCTCCCCCTCCTCCTCATCCTCCCCCTTCCCCCCCCTCCTCCACATCCTCCTCCTTCTTGTCGTCATCATCATCATCATCATCATCATCATCGTCATCATCATCAGCATCATCAGCACCATCTTCATCAGCATCATCATCATCTCCGTCATTCTCCCCCTCCTCCTCCTCCTGATCCTCCCCCTTCCCCCCACTCGTCCTCATCCTTCTTCTTCTCGTCATCATCATCATCAGCACCATCATCATCAGCATCATCATCAGCATCACCATCCTCACCCTCAACCTGCACCTCAACCTAATCCTGATCCCCATCTTCATGCTCATCCTCATTATCATCGTCCTCATCAGCATCGGTAGCAACATCATCATCAGCATCATCATCCACATCTTTATCATGATGAGCATCATCATCATCATCATCATCATCACATCACGTCAGCGTCAGAATCATGATAAGCATCATCATCATATTCATCATCATGATCACCACCACCAGCAGCATCATCCTCAGCAGCAGCATCGTCAACATCGGCATCGTCATCCCACCCTCCTCCTCATCACCACCACTATCAGCACCACCATCAATCACATCGTTACCATCACCATCATCATCATCATCATCATCATCATCATCATCATCATCATCATCATCATCATCATCATCATCATCGTCGTCGTCATCGTCATCGTCATCGTCATCGTCATCGTCATCATCGTCGATGACATCCGTTCTCCTCCTCCTCCTCCTCCAACGACAACGACGACGACGACGGCGGCGGCGGCGGCGGCGACCAGTGCGGCGACTGGTGCGGCAAAGGGGACGGCCACGACACCGACGACGGTGGCGGTGCCGACGGCCCCGACAGCAGTGGCGCGCCGCACCTGTCGATGTCGGTCCACAGCTCGACCGCCTTCTCGCCCGCCGCCGCCGCGCGGGCGGCAGCACTGCCGCGCGGCGCGCCAACGCGAGGCTGCGGCCGCTCCAGGACCTGAGGCAGAGGCGAGAGAGGAGGGGGGGAGGGACAGGCTGGGTGCGCTCGCGTCACATCTGACGTCCTGCCCCTCCCTCGCATTCCTTACCATGGCGTAGATCTCCTCTCTATTCGCACAAACCGGATGTCGTGGCATGACACGGCATGGCGTGGCGACGCCCCAAGGGGGGAGGGGGGAGGGTTGATGCGGCCAAAAAAATCAACGAGCCGACACCGAATGTGTAATCACTTCCGATTGTTTCTTCGGGGGGATGTTTTTAGAGTTTGGGGCTGATTTGGAAAGACAAAAAGCCATGCCGTGGCATGGCACTGGAAATACTGACGCCAGCGCTGCAGCGGGAGCACGATTCGGAAATAGCAGAAGCGCGGAAATGAGGCCAGCGATGCGGGAACGCGATTCGGAACGAGCTGTAGCCCGAAAATGAGTCAGTGCTTCAGCGAGAGCAGTATTTGGAGAGAGAGAGAGAGAGAAGAAACAAAAAGAAAAACAAAAAAACGCGGAAGCACGGAAATGAGGACGCGTAGCCTGGCATAGCATGGCGGGAATACGCCCCAAAATGGGGGGGGGCTTCTGCGGCCCAAAAAATCAACGAATCGACACCGAATGTGTAAGCACTTCCGCTGTTGTTCCCAACCCTCCTTGGTTGGGTATTCGTTTTGAATAAGGGACTGTGGTCTCCACCTTCCTTCCTCCCGCCTCCCTCCCTCCTCCTGCGTCCTGCTTCCTGCTTATTCCCCTGCGGGGGGCTGCGATCTGTGAAACTGTCGCTACTTTCGAGGCCTGCTGGGGGGCCCAGCACAGTGACGCCACGCGCGGACCCAAATTAGACCTCGCCATCCCTGGGGGGCTGCGATGTATGAAACTGTCGCCACTTTCGAGGCCTGATGGGGGGCCCAGCACAGTGACGCCACGCGCGGACCCAAATTAGACCTCGCCATCCCTGGGGGGCTGCGATCTGTGAAACTGTAGCCACTTTCGAGGCCTGCTGGGGGGCCCAGCACAGTGACGCCACGCGCGGACCCAAATTAGACCTCGCCATCCCTGGGGAGCTGCGATCTGTGAAACTGTCGCCACTTTCGAGGCCTGCTGGGGGGCCCAGCACAGTGACGCCACGCGCGGACCCAAATTAGACCTCGCCATCCCTGGGGGGCTGCGATCTGTGAAACTGTCGCCACTTTCGAGGCCTGCTGGGGGGCCCAGCACAGTGACGCCCTACGCGGACTCAAATTAGACCTCGCCATCCCTGGGGGGCTGCGATCTGTGAAACTGTCGCCACTTTCGAGGCCTGCTGGTGGGTCCAGCGGAGTGACGCCCTACGGGGATTCAGATTAGACCTCGCCATCCCTGGGGGGCTGCGATCTGCGAAACTGTCGCCACTTTCGAGGGCTGCTGGGGGGCCAGCGGAGTGACGCCCACGCAGATTAGATTAGACCTCGCCATCCCTGGGGGGCTGCGATCTGGCTGCGATGTCGCCACTTTCGAGTCTGCACTTTCGAGGGCTGCTGGGGGTCCAGCGGAGTGAGGCACCGCGCAGATCTGAGCAAGACCTCGCCATCCCCGGGGGGCTGCGATCTGTGAAACTGTCGCCACTTTCGAAGGCTGCTGGTGGGTCCAGCGGAGTGAGGCACCGCGCAGATCTGAGCAAGACCTCGCCGTGCCTGGGGGACGACTCGGAACAAGCGGTCACCCGAAAATAAGGCCAGCGCTTCAGCGAGAGCAACATCTTGAAAAAAACCCAAGCGAAAACCCGTTTCCCGGGAATCCTGCCTAAAAGAATCATACACGGAGGGAGGCCGAACATTTCCCAGACACAACCAGGTGAGCGAGGAGAGTAGTATTCATATTGTTTAATTGTGGAGAGGGGTACGAGGAGGAGGGGAGGGGAAGGGAGGAGAATGGGGGGGAAGGAGGAGGAGGGAGGAGGAGGAGGAGGAGGAGGAGGAGGAGGAGGAGGGAGGAGGAGGGGAGGAGGAGGAGGAGGAGGAGAAGGAGGAGGAGGAGGAGGAAGAGGAGGGGAGGAGGAGGAGGAGGGGGAAGGAGGAGGAGCGGAAGGAGGAGGCGGAAGGGGAGGAGGGAGGAGAGGAGGAGGGGAGGAGGAGGAGAGGAGAGGAGGGGAGGAGGAGGAGGAGGAGGAGGAGGAGGAGGAGGAGGAAGAGGAGGAGGAGGAGAGAAGGAGGGAAAGGAGGAGGAGAAGGGGGGTGAGGGGAGGAGGGGAGGAAGGGAGGAGGGGGGAGGAGCAGGAGGAGAGAGCGAGTGGATGATCTGGGGCAGGACAGGGAGGAGGATCGCGGGATGGACGAGGAGGAGTAGTAGGAGGAGGAGGTGGACGAGGAGGAGGAGGAAATGATTAAACACAAGACTTTGAAAGTTCATACATAAAGTGGTGAGCACGATGCAAAATTTCACCGGATTCAGGACGGCATGGGGCGCCTACTTATTGGCGCTGGGCGATGAGGAAAGAAGAGGAGAAAAACAAGGCTTCGGACAAGACGCGAGCAGATAAGACCCGCGCCAGTAAGGCCGGGCACTGAGTTGGACCAGGTCTCGAGCTCAACCTCCTCCCTGCCGCGCTGATGCGCTGAAAGGACTGCATCTGCTGCGACACGGCGCCTGCTGTCGACCCCTTTTCTCGGACCTCCGAGAGCCACCTGGGCATGTGCTTCTGAGCGACAGCAGGACCGGGAGCTGCGGCAGAAACAGGCACCAGCAGCAGCAGAGCACTGGGGAGCCGAAGGCCGACGGGCAGAGGAGCGGTGGAGGGGAGGGCCAGGGGAGCCGACGGGCAGAGGATGAGGAGCGACAGCAGCACGGAATACAGAGGAGCATATAGTTGGAGGAACGTGACTTGGCAGGAGCGGGAGCGGCCGCAGCTGCAAGATTGATGATGATGATGATGCTGATGATGATGATGATGATGATGATGTTGATGATGATGATGATGACGATGACGATGATGGTGATGAGGGGGAGGAGGATGCTGATGATGCTGCTGGTGGTGATGATGATGCCGATGGTGGTGATGGTGATGAAGATGAAAAGTGATGATGTTGATGATGAGGAGGAGGAGGAGGACGAGGAGGGGGAGGAGGATGCTGATGATGACGGTGGTGATGATGATAATGGTGATGATGGTGGTGATGGTGATGGTGATGGTGATGGTGATGGTGATGGTAATGGTGATGGTGATGAAGATGATGAAGATGATGATGATGATAATGGTGATGACTGTGATGATGATGATGATGGTGATGATGATGATGTCGATGATGATGATGCTGATGATGATGATGATAATGATGATGATAACGGTGGTGATAGTGGTGGTGATGAGGAGGAGGATGGGATGACGATGTCGATGGTGATGATGCTGCTGCTGATGATGATGCTGCTACCAGTAATGATGATAATGATGAAGATGATGATGATGATGATGATGATGCTGACGCTGACTTTATGTGCTGATCATGATGCTGATGATGGTGCTGCTGATGATGCGGATGATGATGCTGATGATGGTGCTGCTGATGCTGACGAGGACGATGATGATGAGGATGAGGATAAAGATGAGGATGAGGATTATGTTGAGGTTGAGGTTGAGGATGAAGTTGGTGATGCTGATGATGATGATGCTAATGATGATGTTGATGATGATAACGGTGATGATGATGGTGATGATGATGATCGATGATGATGATAATGATGATGATGACGATGATGACGGAGATGATGATGAAGGTGAGGGTGCTGATTATTCTTTCGATGAAGATTATGACGACGAAGATGATAATGATAATATGAAGGATGATGAGGAGGAGAATGATGATGATGATGATGATGACGATGATGATGATGACGGTGATGAGAACGGACGATGACGATGACGATGACGATGACAGACGATGACGACGATCACCATCGTCGTCGTCATCATCGTCATCATCGAGAAGGGACAGAAGCGCCTCCTCGACCAGCACCATCAGCACCACCAGGGGGCAGAAGAACATACGAGCAGCAAAAAGCAAAGGGGCGGAGGAGCATGGGAGAAGGAGAGCATCGGGGGCAGAACAGCACAGGGAGGGATGGCAAGGAGCGGCGACGCAGCAACACAACCATGATGAAGATGACGATGAGGATGACGATGACCATGACGATGATGATGACGATGGCGGTAAAAGATGATGACGATCACGATGACGATGACGATGACGATGAAGATGACGATGACGATGACGATGACGATGACGATGACGATGACGTCATCGAAAGGGCATCGTCATCGTCATCGTCATCGAAGGGGCAAAGCAGAACTGGAAGGGATGGCAAGCAGCGGCGACGCAGCAGCAAGGCTGTGGGGATCGCCGGTACCTGGCGTGCCGGCGGCGGCGCGGGCGGAGCCGGAGCGGGCTGCGTGGCGACGGCGTGCGCCGCCGGGGCGCGCGGCGCTGGTTGCCGATGCTGCTCCGCCTGGGCACGGCTGCACGTCTCTGCAAGCTTGAAGGATTTGGGAGAACAGCCGCGAAGTGGACCAAAGTATGTGTGTGTGTGGGCGGGGTGTGTGCGTGGGCGGGGTGTGCGTGTGTGTGTGTGTGTTGAGCACAGGTGCGGTGGCTACGAGTGAAAGCGGGGCAGCAAGCAGCCCGCTGCGGCGCAGCACGGAACGACTACGTTGTCTCAGCAACCGACAGCATTCCCTGACGCAGCTTGCCTAGAGCGTGGGCTGGCCAGCCGTCAGCAGGAACCCCATATCCTTGCTGTCCCAGCCGGTGCAAGATTGCATGAGCGCCCAAGGGGGAGGAGGCCACAGAGCCAGCTCCGTACCACCTACGTAGACTAGTCCATCTCGCCGCGCTATGTCATCCCGTCTCATCCAAGGACAATGGTCCGCATACTCCATCCCATCCCCAGCCCGCCTCTCATATCGCCCCTTTTCATGCCTCTGCGTATTAGCCAGCATATGCGTGAGCAGGCGTACACGTGTGGGTGGGCGTAAACAGATAACTTGCGTGTATTATCACACACACACACATGCACTCTCTGCGTGGTTATCTTTCTCTCTCTCTCTCTCTCTCCCTCTCTCTCTCTCTCTTTCTCTCGTGAAGGAGAGGACAAGGGCGGGCAAGCGGGCAGCAGCAGGGGGCGAGGTGGAAGCTTCCTCTCGCCAGCTCGGCACGGCGACCTCCGGCAGGCAAGAGCGACCTAAACGAGGAGGAGGAGGAGGAGGAGGAGGAGGAGGGCTGCACCGCCTGCACCCCGCGCCCTCCGGCCGCCTGAGGCCCCGCCCGCCCTGTCTCCCCAACTAATGCTTTGCGCGGCCCGCCTAGCTCTTAACTGGAAGAGGCTCGCTCTCGACCCGCAGACCAAAAAGTGCGTGCGCGTGTGCACCCACACGTAGAAACAACACACGTGCACATGGGCTGCGACGGTGCACCTGCATCTGCACGCGCAGGCCGTACGCGCGGGAACGTGCACGGGGCGCACGGGCAGCGCTCGGAGGGGCCGCGGCGGAGAAGAGGCGGAGGCGCCTGGCCCCCTGCGGGGCCCCGGATCTGGCCACAATCGGCGCGCCCCCCAGGAAACACACAAAAAAAAGACGCCAGCATCCCGAAGAGGACGGAGCAAGGCCGAGTGTTCTGCCTACGCCCATGCGCAATGTGCACGTGAGCCTCCGCGCGTACATCCGAGAACCCTCCCCTCCACTGCCCCTCCTGAGAAGCCAGCCCCTTCCCCTGCCTCCCCTTCCCCTCCTCTCTCGCGCTCACTCTCTCTCTCTCTCTCTCTCTCTCTCTCTATCTCTCTCTCTTTGTGTCTCGCTTTCTCTCTCTCTCTCTCCTTCTCCCCTCCCCCCTCCTCCTACTCCTCATCCTCCTCCCCTCCTCTCCCTCCTCCCTCCTCCTCCTCACTCTCATCCTCCTCCCTCCTCCTCCTTCCCTCCCTCCTCCCTCTCCTACTCCTCCTCCTCCTCCTCCTCCTCCTCCTCCTCCTCCTCCTCCTCCTCCTCCTCCTCCTCCTCCTCCTCCTCCCGCCCTCCCGCCCTCCCGCCCTCCCCGCTCCCACCCTCCGCGGCCACGAGAGCGGGGCGAGACGACGGTCACGCTGCCATGGGAGAGGCTGCGAGGGAGCTTCGAGGGCAACCGAAAGGGGGCAGCTCTTGCGGCGGCCGCGGCGCAGCACGGCTGCGGGGCAACTGGTGGGCGCACGGGCGGGGGCGCACGGGCCGCGGCGCCTGCCGCTGCGCGGCGGCCGGGGTCGCGGGCGGGCGGGCGGCTGGCGGCGGCTCTCTGAGAGGCGTTGCCGCCGCTCGAGCAGCCGAGGGAGCCTCCCAGGCGGGGCACTGCGCCGCCTGCTGCGCCTGCTGGGGGAAAAGGGGGGGGGGCGGTGCGCGGCGCGCGCGCGCCAAACAGCACGGCGTTCCGACACACGGCCCGTCTTCGGACACGTCCACGGCACCGATGGGAATGAAGAGAGTGAAATGTAGTTTAAGCGTACATGTGTGACTATGTGTACATGCATGTGTGTTCACATGTTTACATTATGTGGCAAAATACCATGAACGTGCACACTGGTCCATATACATACACCTTTTATAAACACACACACATAAAGATATAAATATATAGTCATACAGTCATGCATTCGTACATTCATACATTCATGCATTCATACATTAATACAAACATACATACAAACAAACAAGCAAACAGCCATACAAACATACGTACATACATACATACATACATACATACATACATACATACATACATACATACATACATACATATACACATAGACACACACACACACACACGTCTGCCTGTACGTGCATCTGTATATATATATATATATATATATATATATATATGTAGATTTCCATGTATGGATAGAGGGGTGTAGATGTATAGCCGTTGAGCAAAGGCGTTGGCTTCTGGAAGGTGAAACCCAGCTGAATATAGAGGCGACTGTGGAGGAGAAGGCCCCGACGCCGACGTGAAGCTAATCGGGCTCCACATCGAGCCGCATCGGCGATGCATTGGCGATGCGGCGCGATCATCCGACCCCATCTACACCGACCCCATCCCAGAAGCCTAGACGCACGGAACCCTATTTATGATGAGCGCGACCTCGAATCACACAGCACCCCGGGATCTCGAGACACTGCAGCGTTTGGGTGATCACGGGAAGGCAACGGGCCCCCGGAAGGAGGCAGCCAAGCATGGCCGTTCCCACTGGGTTGTCGCCCTTCACAAAGAGGTTGACTCACCAGCTCGCCGGAGCCCTGGCGCCCGTCCGGGCACCCCCGGGCGGTCATCGGCGAGGTGCAGCGACTGGAGAGCACCCCGCGCGTAAGGGTGCTAAGCTCTCGAAGGCACGTGCCGCTTCTGGAATTGGCGTTGCAGAAGAGCGCGCCGGAAACGCCGACAAGGGCCTTGAAAGCGCAGATTTAGGTCGGACGCGTCTCTACAGGCGGATTTTGGATGCAAAACAAAAATTATCCCGGCGAAGGACCCACACGTGTGCAGTTGTGAACGCCGCAATTATGAACATCATCTTCGCCCGAAAGCCCCACGGGGCCACGGACCGCTCGGCGGGGCGCCGAAATGCGCGGCGGGGCACAAAACGCGAACGAAGGCAATAGGTCTGCGCGCGAAAGTCTGAGAGCGGGCGAGCGCGAGCGCGAATGAGTCTGATTGTGAATGAGTCTGCGCGCGCGGGTCTACGCGCATGGATGTCGACCCCCATGTCCGCGCGCCCCTCGCGGGGATCGCGCCCGCTTCCTCCCCGTGCTTTCTCTCCCCCTTTGTCCGCGCGCGCCCGCGTCCAAGGCCGCGGGCGCGGCGCCGCGCGGAGCCCCCGCGACGCGCGCTGGTCGCTCCGAAGGGGTCCTGGGCGGCGCGCGCGGGTCGTCCGCTGCGCGGAGCAGAGAGGGCTAGCAGGTCGGCCGATAGCGGGCAAGTCTCCGGCCGCTGGGCAGAGAGACGACGGGGGCGAGCGAAGCGCCCGGCAGAGCGCAGCGCGGAAACCCCGCGACGCGCGCTGGTCGCCTCGAGAATACCCCAGCGACGCGCGCGGGCGCGGGTCGCCCGCGGCGCGAGGCCGAACAGTCAGACCGTCGAGAGACGGCGAGGCTCGGGCGGGTCGCTCCTCAGGTCAAGCCTCGCGGATAAACTCGGCGAAGCCCAGCTCCCAGGCGAGGGGCGTCGCCTCCCTTCTGCACCGCTTCGTGCGCGCAGCAAACTGCTCCAGCTGCTTCCGCAAGCCCTCCGGCCGCCCTGCCAAGAAGAACCCGATGCGCGGCACCCGCATGAGCAAGAGGTCCTCGTGGCGCGTGGCGCGCGAGAGCAGCACGTAGAGCTCCAGCCACCACTCGTCGTCCTCCTTCTTGCCGTTCCCGACTTCGTGGCGGCCGCAGTCCAGGATCACGCCTGGGCGATATCGGCCGAGGGAGCAGCGCGCCAGACAGCCGACGGCCCAGGGCGAGAGTCCACGGGACCGAGAGAAATAAGTCGGCGGGGCCATGCGGACTGCGCCACTGGGACCTTAGCTGGAGCTCCCTATGGGGCCACGAAACGTGTGAGGCCTGTGCCACCATGGGGCGGCACCGCCATGCGAGCTGCGCCACTGGGACCTTAGTTGGAGTTCCATGCGGCGCCGCCATGCGAGCTGCGCTACTGGGACCTCAGGAAGAGCTCCCTATTGGGCCACGAAGCGTGTGAGGGGTGTGCCAACATGGGGCGGCCCCGCCATGCGAGCTGCGCCACTGGGGCCTTAGTTGGAGCTCCCTGTGGGGCCACGAAACGTGTGAGGGGTGTGCCAACATGGTTGGTGGGGACGATGATGATGAAGATAATGATGAAGATATGGATGAGGATGATGCTGCACATGATGATGCTGATGGATGATGGGCGATGGTCATGATAGTGACGATGATGCTGATGATGGGGAGAGGGAGGGGGGGGCAGCGGGAGGAGGAAGGAACGCGGGGCGCTGTCTCTTCAAAACGAGGACCCAACACCACAGGATGGTTGGGAACATTTTATATATAAAAAATGTTCAACTATTCTTGAATATTCCTCCTGTAGAGTGACACGCCCGACTTAAGCGCAGATCCAAGGAACACGCGCGGACCCACGAAAGTTTGTGTGCCGTGCTGTTGTGCTTGGGGGGCCAAGAGGTGCCGATACGGCTGCTCCCCAGACCTCTCCCCGGGGGTGCGTTCGGACCAGAACTTCTCAATGCGAATCCAGAGGTGGCGACGAAGGCCTTCATGGAGGCCCCAACAAGGCGAAAACGAGGGAATGGTAGCGGTATGGGTACCCTTTTCCTCATCCGAGGTTTCTTTCTTCGAGAGAGGGGAGAAGAGCAGGGGTGAGAGGCAACGCCAGGGGGGGAGGGGGAAGAGCTCAGGGGGTAGAGCAGTCGACCTGGCATCGGCGGTACGTCACAACCATGGCGTCGGAGTACCTTGGCTTCTGCAGCCCGCCTGGAGCCCTGTAGGACATCTGGAGAACCCCGGAAATCCTGGATCGCAGCATCTCGTGACCTCTCGCGCCTCTGAATCAGGTCCTCCCCCTCCCCTGGGCCTGTCACCCCCCCCCTCCCCGCAACGTGGCCCCCCAGATATTCGGCACTTCAATGTCTTCGATGCGCAGACCCGGTGAAGTCTGGACAACTTGCCTATGTAGGGCAGGCTTTGCATCCTGAGTCGTCTGTTCACGGTCTCGGGGCCCGTTGAGAGCCCTGGAACACCAACAGATCAAACATCAACCGCTCCTCTTGTTTGCCGAAGATTCGGACTTCTGGGCCTGAGGACGAAGGCGTCGGTGAGGAACCGAAAAGGTACCAAGAGCACGTTTCTTTATTTTCGGCGATAATGGGTAGGCGGCGATGGGACGGGTGTGTATAATCCCACCAGCCCTTTAGGGCGTAGGTGGTCTAGAGCGTTTCCTCTGCCAACCCCCTTCTTTCCCTTCGGGGAGGGGGTTACCCCTCCCCTTACCCCTCCCCACCGACCTGGACGAGAGGTTCCGCGGGTCGTTCGGACGTCCAAGATGGCCAAAGACGGCTCCAAGAGCAAAAAACAAAACAAGCAAAAAAAAAATATGTCCCTTTGGTGTTGGAAAGATTTTGGCCTTTTGGGGGGGCCCGAGAGGTGATTCGAGGCACTCTAGAGGGGCAAGGCTAATATACGACCCCCCCTTCTTTGATAGATCTCCTCCAACATGGCCCCCAGAGCGCCCCGAAGGCTCCCAAGAGCGCCCCAAGAGCGCCCCAAGAGGGCCCCAAGAGGCCCCAAGAGGCCCCCAAGAGGCCTTCAAGAAGCTCCTAAGAGACCCCCAAGAGGCCCCAAGAGGCTCCCAAGATGGCCCAAGACGGCTCCAAGAGCGAAAAAGCGAAAAAGCACAAAACATTGATTTCTTCAGGTTTTGGAAGGATTTTGGCTGCGATTCGAGGCACTCTAGAGGGGCAGCGCTAATATACGACCCCCCCTTCTTTGATAGATCTCCTCCAAGATGGCCCCAAGAGCGCCCCGAAGGCTCCCAAGAGCGCCCCAAGAGCGCCCCAAGAGGGCCCCAAGAGGCCCCAAGAGGCCCCCAAGAGGCCTCCAAAAGGCTCCCACGAGACCCCCAACAGGCCCCAAGAGGCTCCCAAGATGGCCCAAGACGGCTCCAAGAGCGAAAAAGCGAAAAAGCACAAAACATTGATTTTCTTCAGGTTTTGGAAAGATTTGGGCCTCAAGAAGGGCTTCAGACGTGATTCGAGACACTCAAGAGGGGCAAGGCTGATATACGACCCCCCATTCTTTGATAGATCTCCTCCAAGATGGCCCCAAGAGCGCCCAGAAAGCTCCCAAGAGCGCCCCAAGAGCGCCCCAAGAGGGCCCCAAGAGGCCCCAAGAGGCCCCCAAGAGGCCCCCAAGAGACCCCAAGAAAGATGCCACAAGAGGCTCCCCGATATACGCAAGAGGCCCCCGGGACCGCCAACAGGCCCCAAAGACGGCCCCCCCAAGCTCGCCATTACCCTCCTCCTCCTCCTCCTCCTCGTTTTCTTCCTCCTCCCTCCTCCCCCTCCCCCTCCTCCTCCTCCTCCTCCTCCTCCTCCTCCTCCTTCTTCATTTCCTCCTTCTCGGCCTCCTCGTCCTTGCAGTCCTCCGTCTCCTCCTCCTCATCTTCCTCCTCCTCCTCTTCCTCCCCCTCCTGCTCCTGCTCCTCCTCCTGCTCCTCCTCTTCCTCCTCCTACTCCGACGACGACGGCTCCTCCTACATTCTCCCCCTCTTGGGGTATATGGCGGCTCATCCCACCCTTTGTTCTTCTGAAAGCCCCCCTGCTTCCCTCACAACCTCAATTCCCCTGGGA